AAGGAAAGTGATAGCAAATGATAAGGGCTGATAAAGGGCATCGGAATGCTAACGTCGTCATTTTCGCAACGCCCTTTGCGTTGATCCTAAGATGTTCGCACTCATGAATGTTATGTGGGGTGAGGCAGGGACCAAAAGGGTGATTGGAAGAAAGTGGTAGCAACTGATTAGAGCTGATAAGGGGCGTCAAAGTGTGGATACTACCAGTTTCGTTGCGGCTTTCGCAGTGATATTGGAACCTTGGCTGTCACATGTGGTATAGGGGATGGGACGGGAACACGGATAGTGGGTGATCAAAAGCGATAACAACCGATAACGGTTGATAAAGAAGTTAGGTTTTTGAGTGCCGCTGATTTCGTTGTAGCCTTCGTGGTGACAGTAAATATTAGCTCCTACACGCTACAAATGGGACGGAGATACGGTGAATGTGGGTGACAGAAAGGGGTATGAAAGGCAGGTGCACTAATAAAAATAGCGACAATTGAGTGTGCACTCGGTTAAACTTAACCAGATTCCTAGCACGGGAATATGTTCCATTTCCACCCTTTCATCTAAAAAAGCAAAGGAAGTTGAGCTGCTCCACTATCTGGACTTGGACTAATAGCGAATAAAATCATATTTCCAATTTCCATCATCGATTGATGCTGATTGATTGGTTATATTCCACTTACACACCGATTCTTCAATTGTGGGAATTCTATAAACCGCTAAATCGCCCGAGCTCGATATCAATGCTAAATGTTTACGAAGTCATGATAAGTACCATTTCGGTCAGACACACACACACAACCGCTTAGCCGATTATATATAGTAGGATCCTTTTCGCTCATTACAACTTCTTGTTCCTATCATCAGCATCTTGTCGCTTAGAACATTCGCTGGGTGATGGTACTGAATTGCTCGGAAAGTTTCCGCCGATTTTGACTCTCAATAAAAGAGCGCACATCTTAGCCGGATCAAAAAATTTCCAACTGGAACCGGAGAGGGTAGAATCAGGGCGGATGAGTTTTGGAACCAGGATTTCAATCAGCACCCGCTTGTCGACTTTTTCAAATTTCCCAGCCTTTCACATAAAGTTCAATCCACAGGTCCTGTGGAGAATGGTGACACCTAATTCAGCACCAGAATTCTCTACAGTTCCGTGCAGGTGTGGTTCAATCAATATCCAACATAAAATTTGATTCATGTCTGATATGCAACCTCTACTCTCATTATCTTCGAGGCTCTCGCAATCCCTAGAAAAGCTATTCGAACAATCGCTGCACAACATGCTTTTGCGAATTCTAGGCCAACCAAACCGTTGCCATCGCAGCTCGTTCGCATCCCTTTTCGGGCCAATCCTGCTTCAAACAATATACACACGCAAAATCTCCCTCTGACCAAATAGTCCTCAAGGCTTTCTAAAGGCTGCAGCAAATGCTATAGAACAAAACTGGGAACCCTAGACAAAAACGAAAAACGCGCTTAAGAATCTAATGTAAAGTTGCAGCAGTTTTCTAGAATTAGTTTCAAAACTCAAACACCTAATAAGAGCTACCAAAATCGGCGGAATCTTTTCGAACAGCCCAATACACCAGTCCCGCGAAAAATGTAGCGAAAGTGGACACTTGCATTCTTACGCCACTTTTCAGCAGTTATCACTCACTTTCTGTCACCGCCATCTGTGTCCCCGATCCCCAAGCCACTTCTAGAGACCACCGTTCCACTGCTGCTGCGAAGGGCGCAACAAAAATGATGAAATTCTTGCCCTCCTTTTTGACTCTTATCTGTTACTAACGCTTTTCATCACTCATCGTCTGTGTACCCGTCCCACCTTCTATGAAATTTTGTGACACTCTCCCCTCCTCTCCACGCCTCCTCCCCCCCCACCCCACACACACACGCAAAGTTCTACCTATAGAGAGCACACACATAAGGTTCTACATATTGAGAAAATCTTGCACTTATATATAATATTACTACACTATTATTTTACGTAACATACGAATATACATTATACAATCACTGAAAACTTACATAGACTGATTCACAAATCCACGACGCGAAAGCAAACAAAATGTTAGGGTTGATTCTAACGAGTACATTAGCGAACAAGAAAAACTCACCTTGGAGCTCACAGCAATTTGACACTGCAACAAGAAGTGAAGACGCAAAGACCGAAATCTAGAATGTTTAAGCTCACTTGAACGGTCAACACTGCGTGCTTTTGAACTAACCTGATGCTTGAGACCTCCTTCGCTCAAACAGAGTTGTGTAGAAATAGCAAAACTTCTGAAAGCGCACAGCTCATTTCATTCAACAGAATTGAATTTTGCAATAATGAACTCACCTACGGTTCACGGCTTCGTACAGACTGACTTGACCACGAAAAAAATCGAATTCTGGAAGAATTGGGATCATCTGATCAATTAAGTTTGTGTAATAATGAACTCACCTGTGAGCGATGGCCTATAACACACCAGCAGACCTTATGGCGAAAAAGAAAGCAACTTGTGAAAATCAAAAACTCGTTCGAATGAGTAAACTGCGTACCACAGAGACAAATTCACTAAATGAACTTACCTTGGGCACACGGCCTATTCGACACAGACGTTACCACCGCAAAATCACTTTCTAAAAAGACACTGTTCATAAACGATAGACACCGTGAAGTAATGAACTTACTTAGCGCTGGACCTCGTCCACTCCTGAAAGAACTTCGCAACGAAAGATTCTGAAAACCAAAATCAATCGACTAAACAATACTGTGTACTATCAAGACAACAATTCTCTCTATGAACTCACCTCAAACACGCGGCCTCCTCCACACAGAATTGACCACCAGAAAAACGAACTCTAGAAAGATACTGTTCATTTACAGAATCAACACGGCGAAGTACACCAAATGCGCGCGGCCTCGATCACGCAAGCAAACCACGAGGAGAGGCAAAAGCAACTTCTGAAAAACCAACTTATCCGGATATATTTCAAAAAACTCACTCGAATAAGTAAACTGCGCACCACTGGAACAATTCCCACTC